AAAGGCCACGCGCAACGGAGGCATGGCCGGGCTGCTGATGGAAGTTTGATCGTAAATCGATGAAATCAACTTGCATCTTAAAGCAGACACTAACTCAGGATGACGCATGATGGTGTGGAGAAATGCCTACCATTCCTCCAGAACCGAGGGCTGCATGTAACCGTTCGACTGAAAAGCAATGCTTCGCAAAGAGGATTGCTGTTGTACTTACACCCCGGAAGCTAGAAGTCTCTAAACCAAACAGCAAACCCTAAACCCCAACAACGTAGACACCAACGACCCTGAACTGCTAAACCCTAAACCCGCGACCCTTAAAACCCGAACCCCAAACAAAAACGAGCTCTGATGCACAAAATGCACCCCGGTGCCTGCATCAGCTGCGGGAGCTCACCTCCGGCCTCCACTTTTTGAAGCAGATGGGTGGTCGGGTAGTAGGTGGGTAACATCGTCACAGAGGCCCACACAAAGCACATATGTGGATAGCACCTGGTACATGGCTCCCATATCGGCCTCCTACGAGGATACCGACATCCCAACTACTCACCTCGACCTGTCCTTGGTTGAAACGATGTAGCTGAGAGTGCCTATGGACTTGCGTGGGCGTGCACATACACTGTTACACTCAGACATGGCTTTAAACAGGCATGCAGCCGCGGGCGTTTTATGCATGCACATGTATTCGCGTGCGCAGTTTCGAAAATCGAGATTTTGGGTGCTCCGGCGAGTCAACGAGAGCCACTCAGGTCCGGCAGGGACAAAGATCAGTGAGCAGAGCCACCCGGTTCTGTTGCACGGCCTCTCAGACGGAATTAATGACGTATTGCCGAAGGTCAAACAAAAAGGCGAAAGCTCGGTGTCTGGAGCTCGGCCCGAAAGCTGTTTTCACACTTGTGGCGAGATTGCAAGAAATAGCACCCTGGTGTGCCACCAGGCTACAGGTGCTTGGACATGGAAAGCACGCAAGAAGATCCCGGCGTAGCCAGGCCAATCGCACACTGCGCGAGATCTAACAAGCCCCAGGCGTTCATGAAGAGCATGTCATCGAGCTCCAGCATCTCGCCACCGAAGCGAACGGATGCGGCATTGTAGCCTTATCCAAGCATGCAGCATGCATCTGCTTGCTGGTGAATTTCAGAACCCTCCCGCCAAGAGCTCAATCCCAGCAGAAGTCACCTGCCCTGCTGAACCCCCGAGCTGGCCTCCATGAGTTCAACACTGCTGCTTCAAGATTTCGGAGGAAACCGGGTTGACTCGGGAACGGGCCAGTCCTCAGACAGCACCTGTCGTCCTCCCACCCGAGCTTGAGGCGCTGGCCATCCAGAAGACCCCACATCTGGAAGAACCTGAAGGCAATTCACATCGATTCGTCATTCCACACGCCATCAACAGAAAGTAAGAATGCCCGCCAGAAGCGCTGAGCCCCAGGCGTGTAGCGCACCTGCTTCCAGTAGGGGTCCTTGGGCTCCTCGGCGAAGACGTGGGACCTCGTTAACAGGACAGAAAGCCGCCAACAACAACAACAACAACAACAACAACGACAACAACAACACTCGTAATAACAGCAATAATAAACATTATCACCATCATAATAAAAGAAGAAGAATGGTATTCCAAAGGTTTATGACAATGAACATATTAATAATGCAATACTAATAGTAATAACAATAGTCATAAGTGTAGTAGTACTAAGAATAACCGCTGTATCAACCAAAAGAACAATAATACTGATAACCGAGATAGTAATGACAACAAAAGTACAAACGAAAATAAGAATGATAATCATAATAGAAATCAGAACCTAATCCTGATCATAACCATAATATCACCAGTAGTAAGAAGAACAATAATAATAACAATATTAGCAGTAGTGAAAATAGCAACAACAGTGACAAAAGCACGAATGATAGTAATACTAATGTCAATACACTACCTGGTAAAACAAGATGTGCATCAGCACCAAGTTCATGTCTGGGCTCAGTCTGTAAGACAGGCATGGGTGCGTTTCTGAGCCCGCTTCAACTCCCACATACTTAACATAATACTTAAATGCCATGCAGTACCACCTTGATTCTCTGTTGGACAGATATTACAGGCAGCTTGCATGGTCGCCGTGATGAGAAGTGATCGACCGGTTGTGCTATCAGCCCAAATGCCACACTTCTCGCAGCTTCTCAGATCGGGCTCGTCGGTCCATCAAACTGTCCGGTTGAAAGCAGAGCTCTCAGCGCCGAGGCCCCGGCTCCATGTTTGTCATGAAACGCGCATGAGCCATCCTGGCTCAAATCAGTAGACGTCTCAAAACTCACGAAACTATATTAATGCGGCATATGTTCTTCAAGCTCGCTTCCTGGGCTGTTGTGTTTTTGGTGTGTGTTTGCTCTCTGAACCATCCTGGTTCGTCTGCACATGCCTAATCAACGCGACTCAATCTAAAGCGGTGTCAGCTAGGCTGGTTCTTGAAGAGCGTGCGGATGCCCGGCAGAGCATTCGCCTGGACTCTCTGAAAGCATAACGTTGCCTATGCAGGTGCAGAGGCACCTTCTCCGAGCAGAGTCAGTGTTGGAAACCCTCTGACGTACTGGCTCTGAACTACAGCACCGCGGCCAAAACCCGGATAAGGCTCCAACCGTCTTGTCTTTTTCCAAAAGGAGCCTTGGAACTTTGGGCTCCAACGAACAGCAGGGAAGTCCACAACCACATCCAAGACCCAACTTGCACAGCCAAGCCAATGAGCGTTCGAAAGCAACGAGTGCCATCTGCGGCAGTCTCACGCATCTTTTGAGGCCACTCTCACAGAGGCAGAGGGGGAGAGCGGAGAGCGCTCCGTTATCAATGCAAGTTCAGCACGTCCAACCACATGCTTTCGCCCACGAATTCGGACAGAACAGTTGCACCCCTCGGGAAGTTAAGCTGTTAGCTTTAGCTACAACGAACTCGAGGATTAAGAACCCTTATGCAAGTCCAGAAGCAAACCTGAAATACCCAGGCCACGCAACTTCTGGCTGTTGGCATAGAACTCGGAAATGCGTACGCACGTCAGGAGGCCTTCGATGTAGCCCGCAGCCTCAGTCACTCAATCCTTCCCTCTGACAGAAGCCTCTCTGCACATACAAGAGAAGAGCCCTGCCCATGAAAAGTGCCGTGCATACATCTTGATGTCGTTCGACATGGTGAGATCGTCTGCCGTCTGGACCTGCAACTCCGACCTGAAGAAACGGCGGTCTGACTGCAGGCAGGAGGATGAAACATCTTTCAAGACGCCCCATGTTTAGGGGCCGTGACATCAACAGATCACAACAGCCCTGCCCGAAGCTAACGAGATTGGCCCTTCTCACGAACAAAACAAAAGGGTGATTGCGGGAACTGCAACGAATCCCAAACCCGACGCGAACGCCAGGGCAAAGGCCATCCGGTGGTGTGGATGTTGTCGTGATACTTTCCCCAGGCGACGCCGCCTTGGGGCCTGGGGACCAAGGCTTGAAGCGATGACGATGCTGACGATGTTGCTGTTGATGGTGACGACGATGATCTGCTACTCTGATGCTACAAAATGCTGAAAGTATGTGCTTTCATGACTCTAGTGGATACTTGCATGTGAGCACGCAGTCTTGTCTTTGAGGCCTAAACCCATCTGAGCAGCACACAACATACCAGCTTCCAGTTTCAGGGCTCGGGTGGTCTTGTCGAAGACGATCGTGAGCCCCTAGCGCGTCAAGGTTGAGGACGGCTTGGATGTGAAGAAGTTTACTTGGCGAGGCATTTTCGCAGGCATAGGGCAAATGTTGCCAACCTGCATGCCTCAAACGCGCGGATGGGCGTATGTGTGTGAATACACATATTCCTAAACCAATTGGAAGACTTATTAATGAGTCAAGCCTCGACCCCATGTCCTGACGTGTCATGAAAAAGATGACATAGTAATGTAATTATCCGCGTGTGATCTGCTCGTGCCATGTCATGCGCCAACAAAAAATGGATCAAGTGGCTCGCAGTCGCAGTGGTTAGCCCAGTCAAACATGCACAATCTCTTTCTTTCGCCAGGGCTGTG